TTTGACATTAAAATACAAAACTGATCTTCTGTTCAGACCATCGTGATCCTCTCGTCTCCTCCTTTATCAGTTTATATAAAATCAGCTGTCAGGGACCTGCTGTGATATTTGACTCTTGACAAACATATAAACAGCAGCATTCGATCAATACCAGACACAGAGGAGACCAGAATTTTGCAGTAGCTGAAACTGTGGAGATCTTTTTAAAACTCATTTAAAAACCTATTTTATTTCCAGGCTGTTAAACCTGTCCAAATAATGTCTTTCTTTTGATATTGTCCAAATTGTCCAACACTTTGGTCGGCGCTTGTTGGTTTGTAATGTGCTTTATAAGTAAAACTGACTTGACTTGAGTTGAATATTGAGTTTTAGTGACATTCAGACTATTAGTCCTCTCGATTCGATTATTGTATTTCAACTTTTATGTATCAGAAATTAACTTCAGGCTTTTCACATGAACCAAGAAAACCAAGCCGAGTCTTCATGGCTCTGCACCGGCTGCCCTTTAGTTTGAGAACTAATGTTGAGATTTTACTGTTCAAATCTTTACTGACATGAGCTGTTGTTCCTGAACCAACCAATGTGCAGCCTCAGGTCCTCGGGCAGAAACGTGCTTTTCATACGTCGAGCTTAAAGACAGAAGCCACTGAGCGTTTGCTGTTAAAGGCTCATTTATACACTCAAAAAAAATGAAATTGGGTGGTTGTTACATGCACAAGATCCAAACTTGTAATTTGAACTAAATAATTCCATGTTTCTATGGTGAACGTAATTAAATCATGTAGCATCTGCATGAAATTCAGCAGCTTAATTTGTTCTTGTTGAGATGACATCACACAATCTAGTAAGAGTGGTTAGTTGCCTGGATCCAGCCTCTCTTACTGGAACATGGAACTATTTAGTTCAAATTACAAGTTTGGATCTTGTGCATGTAACAACCACCCAATTTCATTTTTTGAGTCGACTCACGAAATTCACAAGATCACATTAGCTGTCAAACCACAGGAAAATCAGTGGGGTTACAAGAGGCAGACAACCACACCACGTGTATGCTGCTACTATTTGTTATGGTTTAACTTGTCAAGGACAACAACATAAAGCATCATCAAGCATAGCTTTCCTACTTTTGTTAAGTCTGTATTGACAGATTAATGCCGTGGTGGTTCGTGCTGTTGCCTCAGAGCAAGAAGATCCTGGGTTCAAATCCACAATGTGGCGAAGTTTGCAGTTGGTTCTCTCTGCGTACTCTGGTTTCCTCCACAGTTAAAAGTCATGCAGTTGTAAGGGTAACTGGTTATTCTAAATTACGCAAAGGTGTTGAAGTGCAAAGATTGTTTGTCTCTGTATGATAGGCTGGCGACCTGTCCAGGATGTACCCTGCCCCTGTTACTCTATCACTTCCACAGCCCAGATAAAGATAAGAAGATGGGTGGATTGGAAGTTGCTGTAAATCCATTGATTTTTTTTGTTGAACATTACTTAATATGAATACAACATGTACTACAGACATAAGTTACATTTCATTCATTCAACAAGATTATCATTGGTGTAACAAACAAATATTTTACTAGTTCATGTAACAAGACTGACTTTTGATGTGCCAAAGTGTTTAAACAATATAAGATGAATTTAAATAAATCTAATTAGACTAATGTGATACAAACATGTTGATTGAACAAAAGTCAAATTAATTGAATGTTAATGTTAATATTATGTTAAACCTACACACATATATCGTGTTGACACAACACAACCAAGATGGATTAATATAACATGATTTGTTTAGATGGAATATAAGTGGCAAGATAAAATTACGTTCATCCAATGAATTATTTTTTTGAGTGTATCATAAGGTTATATTTAGAAATACATTTTAGTGTAGATTTGATATTTTTGAACATTCTTAGTTTATCTCCATCTTAATCTTTTAATATTGATACGGGATTTGAGGAGCACTATACATTATTATAGTACCTCGCTAACATGAAAGGCAACAGTGTGATTTTACTCCTGTGGAAGGATACTTCGTTTAGTTTACTGAAGCTCAGTGACCCAGAAGTAAATTCGTTAAATGTGAGTCGTGCGGTCTCTTCCTGTGTGGCCCTTCGTAGTCACAATGAGCGGTCTGCTCAATGTTGGAATAAATGTTCAGTCGTCTTCGGATCTTTGCATCAGCAGGAACGCTCTCGGTCTGTGATCGTCTGGAGTCAGATTTCAGATCAACCTCGAAACCTGAAACTGTGAAGCCTGCGATACCTGACCGACGCTTTGGGCCCTGAATAAACTTTTACAGTGTTCTGCACCTCGGTGATCATCAATAGGACACATACCAAAAATAATCAATAAAACCAAGCAAATGAATTTCCCTTTTGCAAACTAAATGAATGTCCATGTGTCTGTTATTATTTATCATCCTTCTTGTGAGATATGGGACAGTAACCTTTAATGTATCATCTTTAAACTGGATACATTTAAACAAAATCAACAAAAAAGAGTTCGCTTGACTTAAAATGTTTCTTTCATTGCTCTGTGTGCTAAATCACCAGATCTGCTTTGTTTTTTAGAGACTTTTAATCCCCATAACAGTCATCTGATCACATCCCTGATTGGAGTAGGAGTCTGTCAAAGTTTTGATATAAGTTTTAAATAGTAGAGAGCAGTTCTGATGACCTAATTGATTAAAATAACAAACCTGAGATCACCACGGGACACAGAGCACTCACACATGCAGAGGCAGTTTCACAAGTTCAGTATACAAACCCTGGATTCATTTACAAGAACAAAATTAAACTCCAGGCCTTCTTCACTCAAACAGGACTCTTACCTGTGGATTAACAGTCTGAACACTGCTGGTTAGTTTCACTGTGCATCTGGAGGACACGAGGGACCGTGACACTGGGACCGTGTCAGCAGCACAAAGCGCTCTTCAAACGTTACCGGTGGATTTGCTAACGAGGCGCACGAGTAAGAACGTTGTGGACGGGATGTTTTGTGGCTCACTTTTTGCCAGCTGTGTTTTTCCCTCACACGAGGAGAATATTCGAGTGAATCCCTCAGACATGCTTCACTAATGTTTGCAGTTTGTATTGTAATGCAGACGATGATGAATGTATGGACGTGTGTGAACACAACAGTTGCTGCTTGCCTACACCGACCATAAAAGTGACACTCAGAGTCAGTTTAATCAAACATTCATTTTCATTCATTTCATGCTCTGCTTTACACACTGGCTGATCTAAACCGATGGAGTTCACAGTAACGATGCAGACGATGCAGACGATGCAGACGATGCAGACAGTATTGTAGAAACACATTTGGTACTTGCTGTATTTAATAATATGGCACAGGCTGTTTAACATTCTGCTCTCTGGTTTAAATCTTTGTACTTTCGAGGCTGCAGTGATCCATTTGAATTATGTCATATTGTACCAAGGTGTTTTAATAATGAACAGACGTGTCGATGAAACTAATGACATAAAACATATTAACTGTCCAATCTGGTTGTTCAAACACTGCAAGCCCAGATTCAGAAGTCTACAGGAAGAACCTGTGGAAAGATTTTTCCAATCTAGCCAGAGCAATGTTCATCCATCACCACAGACAGCCGCGCAGAAAGCGATAGCCGTGCTGTTGCTGCCAGTGCAAATAAATGGCCTGATTACAGGAATGTAAGAAACCTTTTTCTTCCAGTTACTATCCAGTCCACACTCAGCTGCTGCTGGGATGAAATTCCTCTCGTTATAAAGTAAAATGACTTTGATGAATTGGTTCTGTGACACCTTGGAGCACTAAAATGATTGTTGAACTAGCATTTACCCACTCGGGCTTCTGACCGCTGACCTTGTTTCCAGCATCATCAACATGTGTCAGAATCACTCTGTCGGTGAAGTCGTCACAGATCAGTCCTTTCGGTGGGCGACCTTTGAAACACGTGTGACAGAAACTTGTGTAGTTTCTCACATCTTCTGTCAAACGCTGTGAGCGCACAGGTGCAGGTTGTGCATGGAGGCTGTGTGGATGTGTGGCAAAGGGAAGACACAGAATTCAGGAGGTTTTAGTATTATTTTAATTATTATTTTATTTTATTTTAAAATAATACAATTTTGTCATCTTATTGTGTGGAATAAGTGTTACAGTGTTGGTGGCATGAGTGATTCACTGACAGAGACCCTCTGCTTCATGTTTGAGCTGTTTGGGGAAACGCCTGCTGAGACCTTCGTAACGTTTCAGTAAATGTGTTATTGTGTGTTGTTAACATCGTGACCTGTGTTTGCGTGTTGAGAAATAGTCTTGATAATTTAAAACATCTGAACTGGTTTTTGTTGCACTCAGACCAGTTAGAGACAAAACTGTGAGTTTTAGTGAACTTTAATGTGTAAAATATTTTCTTATTTCTTTATTTTCTTTATTTTTTAAGGTTCAGTGAGCAGAAGACTGATACTGGTTTTACTGCAGAGC